AGAGAAAGTAGATGAAAGACGGGAAAGGAGTCGGGACGGAGCAGATTCGGTGCCGATTGTAAAAGGTTCGTTCAGGTATAGTATCAAAACGCTTTGTTGTAGTCAAAAACATCTGTACCGATTTAACTATATTGATGTTTGTTCCATAGGAGTAAGTGTCACTATTTCCCCACAAAATAATTTCTAGATTAAAGTCTACATTTAAATCGCGCAATGTATCAAATAAGACACGTCTTTGAATAAAAAAAATGAACATGAAAACATTGAGAAATATATGCGATGTAAGGGTCACCACTGACCCACATTTTCGATATGGATTACAGCTGGTAGGACAAGGGGAAAACCAATGAAAATTTATAAAAAGCGTTACTGTCTAGATGGAAGAAAAAACCTTTAGTTTTCGAGAAGTGGACAAGTGGTATATAGTTTACCTCAACACGTATGTTGTTGATGCTTCTACTGTAAAGCAATTTAAAAGCTTGCTAGATGAGTACTGGAAAAATGATATTTACCTAAAGTGATGAATCTTTTGATTTTTAGCTCACCTGGTCCGAAGGACCAAGGTGAGCTTATGCCATACCGTTGCGTCCGTCGTCCGTCCGTCCGTCCGTCCGTACGTCAACAATTTCTTTAAACGACTTCTTCTTCTTAACCACTGATTGGAATTCAACTAAATTTGACTGGAAGCATCCCTAGGTGGTGGGGATTCAAAATTGTACAAATGGTGGGGCTGACCCCCCAGGGGGCTGAGGGGCGGGGCCAAAAGGGGTCAATTTGGCTATATTGCTTTAAGCGACTTCTTCTCTGGAACCAAGAAGTGGATATCAACCATATTTGACTGGAAGCATCCCTAGGTGGTGGGGATTCAAAATTGTACAAATGATGGGGCTGACCCCCCAGGGGGCTGAGGGGCGGGGCAAAAAGGGGACAATTTGGCGATACTGCTTTCAGCGACTTCTTCTCTGGAACTGAGAGATGGATATCAATCATATTTGACTGAAAGCATCCCTAGGTGGTGGAGATTCAAAATTGTACAAATGGTTGGGCTGACCCCACAGGGGGCTGAGGGGTGGGGCCAAAAAGGGGTAATTTGGCGATATTGCTTTAAGCGACTTCTTCTCTGGAACTAAGAAGTGGATATCAACCATATTTGACAGGAAGCATCCCTAGGTGGTGGGGATTCAAAATTGTACAAATGGTGGGGCTGAGGGCGGGGCCAAAAAGAGGGCAATTTGGCTATATTGCTATAAACGACTTCTACTGTAGAACTATGCACTGGATATTGATCATATTTGGTCGGAAGCATCCCTAGGTTGCAGGGATTCAAAATTGTACAAATGGTGGGGCTGACCCCCCGGGCTAAGGGGTGGGGCCAAAAAAAAAGTATTACTTGGAAATGGTTGAGATCCCCACCATATAACCATGGTATACAATTGCTGAGTATAAATAGAAGAATGCACATTTGCTTCCAGGATGGCTATAGGGTCTGGCCCCACCATTGGAGGCATAGTCCCTGGGTCATACCTTTAAAACTGTTGAGATACCCACCCCAAAACTATATATACAAATGCTGGGCATAAAAAGACGAATGCAGTCATGATATCAGAATAGACCCTGGGGTAAGACATATAGATGTCAGACACATGGATGGATGCATATATATAGGTAATAAAATGTTAAAATAGACGGAAATGAGTATGTATGCTTTTGTGGTTAAATATCATCGTGAGAATGTATGTACTCTATGACAAATGTGGACATAACAGATATAGGTTTATGTATGTATGTGCCTGTATACAAATGAGTGAACGTTTTGTTATTTATTGTACATGTACATTGCATTGATGAAAAATCTGAATAAAAAGATAATTAAAAAAAAAAAAAAAAAAAAAAAAAAAAAAAAAAAAAACAACAACTTCCCCTTCATTTTGTTTTGGGTTTATATAACTGTAGCTAAAGTATTGGTAATTATAATTTATACACATTAACCTCCCCTTAATTTTGTTTTGGATACATAACTTTAGCACATTTGGGCCAGGACAGTTCCAATGTCAATGATCATGCAGCTCAATCAGCCCAGTCTGCTATATATATAGTGTAATCTGAAGTCCAGGGTTCAACTCCTGGACTAGGCCTGCAGAATTTTACACTTAGAAAACTGCTTTTTATCATATTTTGTTAATTTCATTTTTATTATAATGTTTTCATTTAAGTCCCACAAGGTATGCTTTTCTTTTCAGACTTTATAAGAATCTTTCTTTGTGAAAGAGGGTACATGTATCAGATTTTAAATTTGGGATTCCTGCCGCTACCCCGGGGGTTAAGATACATGTATATATGGCTTCAAAGGGAAAATTGAGGAATATTTCAAAAATCTTCCTCAGATTCCGGTGTTGTTCATGGACAGAAAGGTCCCTATGTGTTTTATCAAAATTGCCCCTTAGTCATCAGGTGATCCTTTGGGAGGGGTATAGTTTATTATAGTTTACATAGGGAAATGATGCTTTTAGGCATATTTGGTTTTTAACTCTACAGTTAAGGTTCAATATATACATGTACATTGTAAATTATTCCTATCTCAAATAACATCATTTAACTCTGGGCTTTAGTTATAAGATTGCATTAATTCAGTGATTTTACCTGTACCAACAAGACTCATTTTTTTAAATTTATATATATAGATCTTACATGTTATATTATTAGTTTTCTGGTATTGTACAATGACAGTTAAAATTCATTTGAAAATATTCATACATTGTTATTAATTCCTCTCTAAAATATATTAATTTTACCTGTCACAACAAGACACACATTTGTAATATACAATAAGCTTATAAACATCCCTTTTCTGTGACTGGTGTTGGCGAAATGTTCAAATGCACGCTGGTATGATATTTCAAGCACATTTAGACATTACAATTTATTATGATGAGTTTTGCAATTTGCTGCAAACTTTGGCAGGTGTGAAGATTTGATTGTATCTAAAGTTTAACTTTATCTCAAGATGTTGCTCCGCTTAAGTCTGGTTCAGCATTGAGTGATAGTATTTGTGTAAATATGGCTCGTATGGTCAGAGGGGTGGGGCCCCAATAGGGGAAATAGAGAAAAAAAGGAATTTTGTACAAATTAAGGGATATGAACCAAATTTGTTCTAGGGGACTTTGGGAAAAGGGGACTCAAGTTTGCATTAACAGAGGGTGTTGATGGTTTTTTTATGCTTTTGACAAACAATAAATAATATGAAATTCAAAAAAACAAAAAAACAAAAAACAAAAAAAAAACAAAAAGAATAGACCCCGGGGTCTGACCGAACCCCTAGGGACCTAGTTTGTTAGTCACAGCTTGGAAACAGTTGAGAGCCCCACCCTATAACGGTATATACAATTGCTGAGTATAAAGAGATGATTGCACATATGCTTCCAGGATGGCCTTGGGGACTGCCCCACCCTTGGAGACTTAACCCCTGGGTCATAACTTCGAAATGGTTTAGATTCCCACCCCAAAACTAAATATACAATTGTTGGGCATAAAAAGACGAATGCAGTCATGATATTAGAATTGACCCCAGGGTCTGCCCCACCCTTGCAGACTTAACCCCTGGGTCATAACTTTGAAATGGTTGAGATCCCCACCCCAAAACTATATATACAAATGCTGGACAAAAAGAGACAAATGCAGTCACGATATTAGAATTGATCCTGGGGTCTGGCCACAACCCTAGGGACCTAGTTTCTGAGTCAAAGCTTGGAAACAGTTGAGATTCCCACCCCATAACCATACATAAAATTGCTGGGCATGAAGCATCTAATACAGATATGCTACAAGGATTGGCCTTGGGGCCCGGCATATTCCCTTGATCTCATTCGGAGAATATTTTGCCATGATTGCTTTGGTATCCAGGTGAGCGATACAGGCCCTCTGGGCCTCTTGTTAAATATATTTGATACAGATATTGAACTATAAGGCTATAAGCTGCCCATGCTTCTACAGAAATCGTAGGTAGGCCAACTATCTAAAAAGTAACGTAATGGGGAAAAAATCAATAACCTTTATAAATAAAGATGTGTTTGATCATCTCTTTTGTGTTGTATCCGAATAAAATATTAGTCAATAATCAAGGGACGTATTACCATTGATTTTTTTTTTTTTACTTAGCGCAATCACGGAATTAGATTATCTAAGCTATCTAAGTCCGTGTCGCAATCGTTGATTCCGCGCCTAACGTCACGCTACCACAATTGGTACACTACCCAAATTGGTACACGGTCAGAAAATTGTTCGAAAAGTACTTTAAAATTAAATTTGAGCATTTTCCTTTGACAGTATAACAAAATAGATATTTATCAGCATTTCTGCCGAATAGTTTTGTTTTCAGGAACATTTTAAGAGTACACGATGACTTCAAAGTAAACATATCAGAAAACCAGTAAAAACGACGTATGTCGACGAGATTTTGGAGGATTTTCAATGGGTTAAATATAAGCATGTTTAAATGTTGATTTCTGGTCCTTATATTCGGATAATATAAAAGTGAATATATACAATTATAGTTCAGTATGGTATCTATAAAAGCAATATATTTTGTTGTAATCGGCACATCAACTTGTAGAAATAAAAACAATTTCCATAGCCTGTGATATGGTGTACCAATTTGGGTACTATTTACGGCCGAAAAACGGACGAAATCTCACTCCGAGTTTAGCGTTCTATTTTCAAAAATAAATTACTTGGATATAAATCTTTTCCTGAAAATGAACCACCATAGGTAGTCTTTGTCAAGAATCAAGAAACATTCCAGATACATGATCTGAAATTTTAAAGATCACTAAAAAACTGTCAAAATTGTACCAATTGTGGTAGCGTGACGTTAGCCGCAATTGGCCGAGAAGTTGCGATTTTGGCGCAATCCTGACACCTCATACTCGGCTAAAGCGTGCGACGAACAAACCCGGGGAGTTCCGAGTGTTTCCTCTTCCTCTGCATAATCTGTGTCTCAATTACGCTTTTCAAAGGAGGTGACAGAATCAAAACATCAACGTTTCTGCAGTAATAATTGATGACTGTCTCGAAAATGACTGCATGAACCTTACTGTACATCAGGTTTATACAATCGGTATCAAGGGAAGGCAAAGACAGAAACCTAATACAGACAAACGTAAGTGCATTATAATAATTGTAGGAAACATAACAGACACAGGGTTCACTTCCAAGGGGAACTTCCTGTAGGCCCTACGACGTTCTGACTTACTGAAGCGGAAAAAATGGGGCCCAGTTGGATGATTAATCTTTTCGTAAGAAGACGATAGCTTAATTTCAAATAGAATGAAGCTTGAAAAAATAAATCGAAATATTTAGGTTCGTAAGGAGTCTTTATACGGGACCTCATTGTACCATTATTGGTAACATTGCGAAATCGCATGTGAAGCATTATAGTGAAACAAGTTTACACAAGTCGGCCTCAAAAAGCATTGGACCAAAATAGTCATTCCATTAGATAACCAGACACAGCACCTCTCGTTAAGCAGCGGTATACATCATTTACAGGCATGCTAAACAATTGAATTGCAATATTACAAAAATCAACATGCATACTTTTAGTTCATGTAGGAACTCTATCTAAATCAGAGATTTATAACGATAGCGTTATAAATCTCTGATTTAGATAGAGTTCCTACAGGAATTAGCTAGTACTAATATTGATCAGGTCGGGGAAAACCACTAACTTGCATATAATACGCAAACTCGCCTATTATACGCCAATATATGTGTATGGATTTGTTACTAAAAATAGCCAAAATCACTTTAATCTTAACTTTTTTTAAATGTTTGTCCAAGTCGCAATTATTCAGTCACGAAACATAATACAAATGCAAAATAAACTTTATTTCCATGTGGGAAAGTACAAAAAAATAGATGCAATACTTCCGGTAATTCCTGTAGGAACTCTATCTAAATCAGAGATTTATAACGATAGAGAACTCTATCCGCAAACAGACAATCGTTTTAAATCTCTGATTTTGGTAGAGTTCCTACAGGAATTATATTTCCGGTAAAGATACATCAAGTTTCTAAGTAGCCAACGCTTTCAGTAAATATCTTTTAGCAAAATATTATTTACCTTGTCGTAAATTAATGCGATTTTTAATAATATCTTGCAAGAGTAAAAACTGTTAAAGCGATTTGGGTAATTTTTAGTAACAAATCCATCCTCCAACTAGCATATGATAGGCGAGTTTGCGTATTATACACAAGTTGGTGGTTTTCCCCAACCTGTTGATACCCGGCCTCCTTAAAATCTCTCGTCATCAGAAAGCTACTTTATCGCATCTACATGCATTATATATATATATATGTGTGCATATATACGCTATATATTTAGGGAAGGTTTCCCAACTTGATTTTATATTTGGTCAGTTTGCATCGTAATCAGGCCTTATAGATTGATGCCCAGGTGCATGTGTTTAAAATTCTGACTTTAAATTGAGAAACAGGTCTTAAATATGTAGCGGAACTGGACTGGGACGATCGTCGGCGACCAGGTAGCTCAGTTGGTAGAGCGTTTGTCTAGAACCCCAGTCTGACCATGCTTTATTTTCGCTCCTGTTACAATGGTGCCGTGACCAACCCTTGCTTCAAGTACTAAGTGAATGCTTGACAAGGGGAAACACAAACCTGGGCTATAAATAGTTGTATCTTCGTGGACGAAGACATAGAAAAAGGAAGCTCAATGGCTAAGCGTCCATCTAGAGTTTGGAGGGTTCCATTTTCGAAAACCTAGCCTTGCGGTGCATTTTTCCTGTTACATATAAATAGATATTTCATATTATTGGTGATTCTGTCTGTCAGCACTGTATGTCTATAGACTAGTTAATAGCTGGATATAAACTGAACTTGCATGGCTTATGTATATCCAAGGTCCTTGTTTCCTGTGATATGGTTATAGATGGGTGGTTGCATTGGTCTAACACACTTAATTAAGCGTCCACCATGCATGTGATGACTTTGGAACACAATTTAGGGACATTGTTTTTTGAAGTAGGGAAATTGGATTTTAGGAACAAATTTACGTAGGGAGATCAGGGTGTAACATTATCTTACTTATGATTATCATTTCTTCTCACTGGATCAAGTTAAGCAGATATTTTAAAGATAAGGCCTCATCTACACTAAAGAGATTGTTGAGGTAAGTTTCTAGGATACTACAAGCCCTACATCAACTAAACTTACATGACACTGGACCCTTATTTACACAAGCACATATATGTTTAAATTGCTATAAATAATTTTGTGATGTAAATAAAAAGATGGAACTTATTTTACATAATTGTAACAATTATGAGATTGTATTTGTATATTTTCAGGTTTGTAAGACTAACAGCAATGGGGGAAACATCGTGTCCCTTAGCGACCATAGGGGTGGTGGTCGGTATCGGAGTGCTACTTCTGGTTATACTCCTACCCATGAGCTTCAGCGGTCTCGAATACTATGAGGTAGGCATATCTAAGTTGACCGGGTGATTTCCAGATTACCTCCCCTTGACAGATGTAGTATACATGGGAAACAAGACCTCAAGGCTCATAGGCTCATAAGTTCCAAACAGGTGATAATCTGGCTCATCGTTTTTCAGCAAGTTTCTATTTAGTTACCATTCCTTTTTTGTTTTTAGCTCATCTGCCAAAATAAAATGTAAGGTTATGCTATGGTATATACATTGTATATATATATGGGGTCTGCTGTCCCTTGTCCATCGTCTTCCATCAGTTTTGTAGTAATTGGAGACTCACAGATTACCACATGGCTTTCGTTTTTTACACCACCAAAGCAGTATGTGTGCCTCAGCAATACACATTTTACTGTTCTTCAATGAGAAGTATAATGTATATGTTTTAACTACAACTAGGAGATCCGATTACAGCGTACACATCCGAATATCTTAAGTGTTTATGTTAAATCCCGAGCATGATTGCATGTTAATAGAGTTTCAACAATTACAACAAAAAATATCTACAAAAAAACACCAGAATATGCATATCAATTCATATTCCTTATTTGAGAACTTAATTTCGATTGATAACAATAATTCAGTCATAAATGCTGGCGTGAAGAACAGCACCTGTCCGTGACGTGATGCACCAGTGTTTCGCACAATAATTTTATTACATACTGATTTTAAAATTCCTTACAAAATCCAATAAGTTCGTTTAACTAAACAGCGATGTATTTAACATTAGAAAGCTCTGGAACCAGTACTACAAAATGTTTTCTTTATGAAAATTATTGCGGGAATGAATGTTTCACTTGCTCCCGTCCGACTGGAAGTTCTTGTGAGCAGAATATTCAAATACCTGGACGTAGTGTGCTTTTATAGTCAAATATCTGTTTGAAATTAAATATTTAATGTCCATTCATGATTTCAGGCACATATAATTAATATAATTACAAACAAATAATTTTATTTGCGTATTTTATCAACTCAAAATTGTTTCAAAATATTTCCACTTCCGTGATGCATTAATGCATCATTCGACCTAGACCCGGAGATGCATTAATGCATCATTCGGCCCAGGCCCGGTGATGTATTAATGCATCATTCGGCCAAGGCCTGGCGCTGCATTAATGCATCATTCGGCCCAGACACGGTGATGTATTAATGCATCATTCGGCCCAGGCCTGGAGATGCATTAATGCATCATTCGACCTAGACCCGGAGATGCATTAATGCATCATTCGGCCCAGACCCGGTGATGTATCAATGCATCATTCGGCCCAGGCCTGGTGGTGCATTAATGCATCATTCGGCCCAGACACGGTGATGTATTAATGCATCATTCGGCCTAGGCCTGGTGATGCATTCATGCATCATTCGGCCCAGGCCTGGTGATGCATTAATGCATCATCAGGGCTTAAAGGGTAACAAGCATATATCTATACATCATAGAGACAACCGCATCCTTTTAAACCTGTGTTTTTGTTGGTTTCAGTTGCAGTGTTCAAAATTTTCTTCAATTTAATTATCTTGTTTCAATACAGTATGGATTCAAGAGACAAAAGAGCACAGGAACAGTCAACCTGGATGAAGTGTATGGTCCAGGCAAACATTTCATTGGGCCCGACTTTGAGTTTAAGGTGTTCAAGGCAGACGCACACTTTGAAACATTAAGCCAAGTTCGAGCTTTTACTGCTGACGGACTCGAGGTATGGTTTAATTTCAAGCCACAAGAATTCACATGAGCCATATTTATGTAAAGATGTGCGTTTTAAGTTTCTTTACCAAACCTTGTTCATGAGAGTGTTCCAAACTCGAGATATGGTTACAATGCATAATTTCAAGCCACAAGAATTCACATGAGCCATATTTATGTAAAGATGTGCGTTTTAAGTTTCTTTACCAAACTTTGTTCTTGAAAGTGTTCCAAACTCGAGATATGGTTACAATGCATAATTACAAGCCACAAGAATTCACATGAGCCAAATTTATGTAAAGATGTGCGTTTTAAGTTTCTTTACCAAACCTTGTTCATGAGAGTGTTCCAAACTGATTTATTGGTGTAACACTGCATGGACTTGTAGTTCTTAAATAACAACAGTTCCATGTGATTTATGTTGTAATTAAAATGTTGATAGAAGATGGCTTCACATATAAGTTGCAATAACCTGTGCCAAATCCCTTGTACCCATTTGGATAATAACAATAAGTTTAAAGTCAAGACGATTTATGTCATTTAGAGCGATGTGCTCTTGTCTGTTTGTAAATGTTTATAATCTTGTCAATTTATTGATAAGAAATTACTTCATATGTCGTAGCAAAATCGACGGCTCAGTGTGCACCACCTTGTGGATGAAAGGAAAGGACTAGTTTGATCTTTTGATGTATATCAAAAGAATCGGTTGGTTGCTAACTATAAAATTGACTGTCTTTGAAGTTGGGTGTGACTCCTCCCTTATCTTCGAAGGACAAGTATCAGCCTAGTGATTGGTGAGGTTTTTAGCTCACCTGGTCTGAAGGACCATGGTGAGCTTATGCCATACCGCAGCGTCCGTACGTCAACTTTTCCTTTAAAACGCTACTAGCCATGAACGACTGAGCAGATTTTGACCAAATTTGGTCAGAAGCATCCTTTGGGGAAGGGAAACAAATTTTGTATAAATAGTGGTTCTGGCCCCCCTGGGGGCTGAGGGACGGGGCCCAATAGGGGAAACATTGCAAATTATTTTATCAAATCCTTCGTCTCCTGTAGGAATGAAAGGATTTTGTCCATATCTGGTGTGGAGCATCCTTGGATAAAGGGGAACAAATGTCGTATAAACTGTGGGTCTGGCCCCCCTGAGGGCTGAGGGGCGGGGCCCAATAGGGGAAATATAGCAAATTCTTTAAAATCCTTTTTCTTCTGTAGGAATGAAAGAAATTGTTCCATATTTGGTGTGGAGCATCCTTGGGTAAAAGGGAACCAATTTTGTATAAACGGTGAGTCTGGCCCCTGAGGGGCGGGAACCAATTGGGGAAATATAACAAATTCTCTAAAATCCTTCTTCTTCTGTAGGAATGAAAGGATTTGTTTCATATTTGGTCTGAAGCATCCTTGTATGAAAGGGAACCAATTTTGTATAAACCGTAGGTCTGGTCCCTCAAAAAGGAAATATAGGTAAAACCTTTATAATCCTTCTTCTACCATAGGCATTAAGGGATATTATCCTAATTTAGTCTAGAACATCCTTAAGCAAAAGGGACTCAATTTCGTATAAACAGCGAGTGTGGCCCCCCTGGGGACAAGGGAGGGGCCCAATAAGGGAAACATAGCAAATTCTTCAAAATCCATTTCTTCTTCTGTAAGAATGACAGCTGGATTTTGTCCAAATTTGGTATGAAGCACCCGTGGGTGAAGGGGAACCAATTTTGTATAAACAGTATGTCTGACCCCCCTGGAGGCAGAGAGGTTGGGCCAAATAGGGGAAATAGAGTTAAAACCTTTAAAATCCTTCTTCTACAATAGAGATTCAGGGATTTTATCCTAATTTAGTCTGTAGCATCCTTGGGCTAAGGGGACTCAATTTTATATAAGCAGTGGGTGTGGTCTCCCAGGGGGCAGAAGGGTGGGGGCCCAATAGGAGAAATAGAGGTAAAACCTTTAAAATCCTTCTTCGACCATCGGGATCAAGAGATTTTATCCTTATTTAGTCTGGAGCATCCTTGGGTCAAGGGGACTCAATTTTGTATACTTGGTGGGTATGACCCCGCTAGGGGCATAGGGGTGGGGCTCTGTTTGAAGTTTGTTCTCGCTTTATCTCAAGTACTGGATGTATTTTGCTGAAATTTCATATGTACTTACAGCACCTACCATGGAGTGCTATGTCTTTTCTTTATACCAACTATTTTAAACATATTCAGGTGAGCGATACAGGCCCTCTGGGTCTCTTGTTTTACCTGACGCCAATCAAATAGCTGGCCACATGCCTTCAGTTTTGCTATGACATATTCAAAGGGTTCAGAAAGTGAAAGTGAGCGTAATCCCCAGAGTATCGAGGATGCTGACACAACTTAGTGAAAGTTACTAACACGGTATATTCCGTCTTTGCGTATTGCAGAGTTATCTTCTCTTGTGAGCAGGTATTGATTGTTACGTCATTGGTTTGTGTTAGAAAATTACGTCATATCCTCAAAAGTTGATGACGTTACTCTCACAAACAAATGACGTAACAATCAATACCTGCTCACAAGTGCAGATAACTCTGCAATACGAAAAGACAGAATACTGGCACTGAACAGAAAATGATCACATATTCTGAATCACAGTCTACATAATGGAAATCGGAATTTAGTTTTTTGTTGAAAATGTTACTGTATAGTGCTTTAAATTCACGGGGTCAATATTTCACAGTTTCATATTCACGGGCGTTAAGTTTCGCATTGTGCACCCGAATCCCATATATCGTGCAAAGTATTTTGAGTGTAATCATTTTAGGGTTAAATCTCGAAATGCAGGTAAACAATTTGCGTCATCATTTGCCAGTGATTTCACTCGAAAGAAAATCAACTGTGTACGTACCTTTGTAGGTGGAAACTGTAATCAATTAATCACCTACTGTGTACACATGAATATGTTATGGACACTTATATGTAAGTGTTGTTTTTACATGGACTGCCCAGTTGTTCGGTGATAATCTGATTGGAGTTCATTTAAGCTTTCATAAAAGCGTTGGGTTATAAGTAGTTTCAACATGTTGTGCTAAGGTCCGTAAAAGTGTTAAATTTTTTGATAATTTCGCTGGTGTTTAGAATTCGCGGATATTTGTCAAAGCGCGAATATAGCGAAATTAAAGCTCCCGCGTAATATAACCGCTATACAGTACCAAAAGTGGTCAAATTGCCACAGAAACCAGATTTTAGTATTTATTTTCCCAACATAACTTTATTTACAATTTTATTTTCCTTAATTGAAAATACATGTAAATTGGAGTACAGGAATAAATTGTTAGGGCTTAGACAATTCTGAGATAGCAGTGTACAGTAGAGGGTTGTGGCCATGGGTGATATTTTTGTTAAATGGCTAACCCCTGTATAATGATATGTAAAAAAAATATAAAAATAAAACTGTACTAAAATTGGTATAAGCATGATGAAGTGGGCTATGTGAGCTTCACATTTGTAAAAAAGAAAGAAGATTTCTTTGGTTCGAGAATAAAATTTTGGCCATAATACGAAAGGGTGCGTACACATGAAAAGCTAGCTTTACAGGAGGTAAAATTTTGACAACAGCACACGACGCAAAATTGCAAAAAATCAAGTTCTACAATTTTACTGCGACCCAGATAATTCTGCAACCAGGTAGGTAATCTTTAATTTCAGACAGAGCTTAGGAAAAAAATTACTACTTGCGGGGGTCAAATTTTGGGTTAAAAATAGCATTTTTTGGCATTTTTTGGTAATTTTTGATGTGGTAACCATGGTTTTCACACAAGTGACATACATAGAAAAAAGAGGTTTATACACTTCTCAGTGCTTTATATGTATTGTAAATGTAATGCAGTTTACAAATATATATACATGTATACATGTGTTGTGTAGGGTAAATCCGCTGTGTTTACATTTCCTCGACATGTGCCTTGTTTATCAGAGTCGGGCCATTTCTACTGTATTCTGCTACCTGAGGAGGTTAAGTTTTTATGCCATACCGCAGCGTCCGTCGTCCTTTAACTTTACACTACTAGTCATGAACCAATGAGCGGATTTTAACAAAATTTGGTGTGGAGCATCCTTGAGTGGAGAAAGCCAATTTTGTATAAATGGTGGGTCTGGCCCCCCAGGGGCCTGAGGGGCGGGCCAAATATAGCAAATTCTTCTTTAAAATCCTTCTTCTTCTTAAGAAATGAAAGGATTTGGTCCATATTTGGTCAGAAGCATCCTTGGGGGAAGGGGAACAAAGTTTGTATAAATGGTGGGTCTGGCCCCCCTGGGGGCTGAGGGGCGGGGCCCAATAGGGGAAATGTAGCAAATTCTTTAAAATCCTTCTTCTTCTGTAGGAATGACAGGATTTGGTCCATATTTGGTCAGAAGCATCCTTGGGGGAAGGGGAACAAAGTTTGTATAAATCAAGGGTCTGGCCCCCCAGGGGCCTGAGGGGCGGGGCCCAATAGGGGAAACATAGCAAATTATTCTTTAAAATCCTTCTTCTTCTGTAGGAATGAAAGGATTTGGTCCATATTTGGTGTGGAACATCCTTGGGTAAAGGGGAACCAATTTTGTATAAATGGTGGATGTGGCCCCCCTGGGACCTGAGGGGTGGGGCCCAATAGGGGAAATAGACGTAAATCTTCAAAATCCTTCTTCTTCTGTAGGAATGACAGGATTTGGTCCATATTTGGTCTGACGCATTCTACGGTGAAGGGGAACCATTGTTGTATAAACGGTGTGTCTGACCCCCCCTGTAGGCAGAGAGGCGGGGCTCAATAGGGAAAATAGAGGTAAAACTTTTAAAATCCTTCTTCTACAATAGGGATTAAGGGATTTTATCTTAATTTAGTCTGGAGCATCCTTGGGCCAAGGGGACTCAATTTTGTACTAGCAGTAGGTGTGGTCTCCGAGGGGGGCAGAAGGGCGGGGCCCAATAGAAGAAATAGAGGTAAAACCTTTAAAATCGTTCTCCGACCATCGGGATTAAGGGATTTTATCCTTATTTAATGTGGAGCATCCTTGGGTGACGGTGACTCAATTTTGTATAATTGGTGGGTATGACCCTCGTAGGGGCATAGGGGTGGGGCTGCGTTTGAAGTTTGTTCTCTATATCTCAAGTACTGGATGGATCTTTCTGAAATTTCATATGTACTTACAGCAACGACCATAGAGTGCTATATCTTTACTTCATACCAATTACTTTAATTATATTCAGGTTAGCGATACCGGCCCTCTGGGCCTCTTGTTAAAATTTGAAAGTGTATTATGTCCTTTTTACCCAGGTAATGGTGACAGTGAGTTTCCAGTACTTCCTGCGAAAAGACGATTTACCTGCTCTACATCGAGCCTACGATATTTACTACAAAGACGTGATGCGGTCTAGTGCCATAGATGCTGTCAAGGTACACTGTGTAAAAGTTAAAAATATTATTAAAAATATATTCAGGAATATCATTAAAAATACTTTCATAAATTTAGAAATATTATTAAAATTAAATTTCATGAATTTTAAAACATCATTAAAATAATTTCATAAATTTAAAAATATTATTCACAATATTATAGGAACCCCTATACGACCAGACACCACAGCCTGGCAACTAAAACTGAAGTCAAACATGTACAGCAAACCTTGGTTACACATAAAATTACTGAACCTTCACTAGCGGACGTTGGCCTTCATTTTCCCGTATTTATTTAGTACCTGTTATGTTCATCACATATGTTGTTTTTACTCCCCAGGGGGCAGTGCCAGTGTTCACAACAAGGGAAATGTTTTCTGATCGTCCGATTGTCGAGGAGACCATGTTTAAGGCTGTGAGAGAGAGGCTAGGTGGCATATGTTGTCAGAAGAATTGTAACGACTGGAAATATGGTAAATTATTATTTAATTCATAAAAAACCGAACACTTACATTTCCAGCACACACACAGGCATACACACATAGGGAGATATTAGCCATGTGGCATAGGACTAGTAGTAAGCGCCTGATAAGGCAGCTCCTGCAAATTCCTCAAAATTGTATTGATTTATGTATATGCTAATTGTATATCTATGTACTGTAAAGCACTTCTGAGTGGTTAAGTTATGTTACTTTTGGTAGCTAGATAGGGCGCTATATCAAATGTTGTATATTATTATTCTAGCTAGATAGGGCGCTATATCAAATGTTGTATATTATTATTCTAGCTAGATAGGGCGCTATATCAAATGTTGTAT